TTTTTAATTATTTTAAAAATTCTTTTCTTTTCCTCATGATAGTGGTGAGGCCCTGCCTCCCCTGACTGCACGTCCCTGGTTGGTGCATTTGAAAGAGTAAGGCTAGGCTCCATCTTCATTCTTGCAACTAATTCCTCTTTTTTCTTTCATTAGTAGGACTTCTTTTTTTTTTTTTAGCTAAGCACACATCTCTCTCTTCTTGCATCTACATTGCTTCTGGCCTCTCCTTTTATTTTAATGTCAAAGACCTTTAAGCTGATGACTATCATGCTGATTCACCTCCTGCAGAAGGTGGCATTACTAATAATGATTGTGGATTGTTGAACTGAAAAACTATGTGATTTATTACAGTATTATTCTCAAAACCTCTTCAGTTTGGGGAAAACATAAATTATATTTATTTTATCCCTTACATAGCAAGTTGGATACAGAGAGAAGAGCTTCAGGATTGATAGCTAGCTAGACATGAAGGCTCTGACTATTTCTAACTACTTCTAGTTTCTCCCTGTATTCTACTGCCTTTATCTTCGTGAAGCAGTCATTTCTTATCTTCTCCAGAATTTAGAAAAGCTGAGGGAGGAATCTTATTTGGGGTCTGGCAAACAGGATGGAATGTTCTAGTATTTATTTGTATTTATTTATTAAATTTTTATACTTGTCATTTCCCTTATAAGGTGAGTCTAGGCAGCTTACAAATAATAAGTAGACTTACAAGTAGGTAGCGTTCAAATTGTAGGTTGAAGTTTCCCAGCCCCCTTTTGAGATTAAAATATATAATTTGTGTGATAATGCAGAGCAGTAATTCAGAGTTTATATGCAACCAGGTAGTCATTGCTTAGCAACCACTATAGAGACCCGTAGCTTTAGCGCTAAGCATTGCAGTTGCTAAGCGGAAAATGAAATGACCATAATGAACTTTCAGTATGACTTTCCATTTGGTCGTTAAGCATGTCACTGCAATCATGAAGTGAAAAATCACGTGATTGTGACTTACAATTTTACTTCCACATTCTCCATTAACTCTGCTTGTCACAACAAGGTGATCAGGAACCATACAGAGAGTTAACACATGACCACAAGATACTTCGACAGTTGTAAATGTGAGATTGATTGGTCTCAAAACTAGCTATTTTTATATATCAGAACTTCAGGCATTTGCTAAATGAGATATTAAGCAAGGACTGTCTATACTACAATCTTTTAAGAGGATTTGAATGGTTGATTTCAGGATAATTATGTTGGAATCTATTTTAAAACTGTAATTTAAGGATTTAACTATATTTATAGAAATAAATAAAATGGGCAGTTTATAATAGTTTTCAGCAGGATACAAATACATTCAGAAGTCATTTCTAAAGTTTGTACATAAATCATATTTTAATTTGTGTCTGAAATCATTATTCATGAGCTGAAAGGCACACAGCGTTAATAGGCTATTCTTGGGAATATGCAACTGAATTATACATTGCTTCCTAGAAAGTCTACTTAAGCCTTAGGGTTAACATGTTATATTTTCAGATGGGTAACATAAAAATCTTAAGTACAGAAAAGGCATCTCCTGGTTTTTCCTCAGAGGGCTCTGATATCAGATTTTTCAAAACATGCCATGCTCACCTACAGCAGAACAACAACAACAACAAAAGTTTATATGGGTTCCTTTTCTTCCCACCCCGCTAATTCCTCATCCCACACCATTAGAAACAATGACAAGAAAATACATAAGCTCTTATTTTGATCTGAAATGCCTTTCTCGTTTCACTACCACACTATCATCCATCTGTTTCATGGAGTACTGGAACACATACTATCAAAAATATTGGAGCTCAGTAAGAAAAAAAGTTTGAATTAAACATTAAAAAAAATAATCTATATTAACTTGACATGGCAGCATTATGAGTGCAGAATCTTTTAAGACATTGCTTTGGCATATTCTCTTTGCAAAACTTCTTATGCCTCATGTGTTGGTGCACATATATAAACTCACTCAAAGAGGAAGTTGTTTGTTCTGGGTTAACATGTTGTGGTTAGTAATAAAAGCAGAAGTTCAAATCTTTCCACCCTAAACTGATGTACTTACAGAATCTTGTACTTAATCTATGAGAGTTCTAACATTTCTCTCTTAGGAATAACATTGCCTCATCAATTCTCCTCCTAAACATCCAATGTATATAACAGGGATCCCAACCTCCAATCCGTGACCAGTACCAGTCTGCGGCATGCCAGAAACCAAGCCATGCAAACAAGTAAAGCCCCAACTGCGGGATGCAGGCAGCTCATGAAACCATGCCCTCTTCAGTCCACAGAAAAACCTCCACAGAAACGGTCCCTGGTATCCAAAAGGTTGGGGGCTGCTGCAGGGGTGGGTTCCGGCTGGCACTACTGCTGGTTTGCTCGTGGGTGCGCTGTGTGTGCTTGAAGTGCACTGTGCACGCATGCACTGTGTAATAAAAATTGTTCTGCGCAGAAGCTAAAAACAAGATGGCAGCACCTATGGCGCTGCCTGGAGAACTAGTTTGGGGGGTGGCAGGTCTGGGTTGCTGCCAGTTCCAGCAACCCAGGCTGCCAAACCACTAGTTCAGCCGAACCAATCCAAATCAGTAGGAACCCACTGGGCTGCTGGTATATACTATAGTTGTTTAGGGAGATTTTCAGAGCTACAGTGTTTGATTTAGTAAACCAATTAACAAACATTTGTTTTTGCTGTTTTCCATTTTGACATAATAGAATGATACATTACTTAAATTTATCTAGGTTTAGAAAAATAGGGGTTTTGTACAATTTACTTCGTTTAGCAAAACCATTGCAAAAAAGTTGTTACATTGATGCTCAGTTTAAAATTTTAGGATCATAGACATGCCTTCATACATAGTTTTTCTTATATACAGTTAAGCTTACTGATTGATTTCATGCTAAACAAATATGAAACAAAGCACATTATGGTTTAATATGATGAATGACTCAGCCCACTGCATACTATATAAAGTTTGTAAACCTTTAAATTCTAATTAAGATTAACATAACACAGTGATGTAAGTCACAATCCTTAATTCTTTTGGAATCTCAAAATCTGACCAAATTATGGATTTTTATAAACTGTTTGGCAAAAAAATGGGGGATTTTGTAGCTGTTACATTGGTATATCATCACATTTTATCTGATTATCTAAGGGAATGGCATAATATAAATCATGTTGTAAATCACATTGGGTTTGTTTGAATCAGCTGTGTGAATGTTCTAAACTGGGTAGTATCAATAACATGGGTATTATTGTAAGTAGTTACACATGAAAAAAGATTTCACATGGAACCCAGTATTTGAATGACTGTCCTGTATACTATCACAAAATACTTATGCATAAATATCGAGTCATAGAAAATAAATGATTTCCCAGTATGATAAGCTACACTTTTGTCTCAAAGTGTCAGTTTCCAAAAATCCTTGATAACTACAAGAATAAATTACATTCCTGAAATCATACAAGCATATATATTTAAAAAATGACAGTAAATTAATATGTGCCCACCAAACGGAAGTCTTTTATAGAAATTAGAAAAAAATACATGAACATAGGCATTACAAATTTTTAGCACATACCCCTTATACCAACAATTGGCAAAATACATCACCATATTGCAATCCACCATATAAAATTAAAGAACACATGGGGAAAGGTAATCTATTCCAAATTCTCAATGAGACATGTTCCATACACAGTGAGTATAATCTTCCTGCTCTTCCTGCAAGCTTAAATAAGGTTAACCGGAATGCACAACTCTATGAAAATGTGCATGTTACCCAGCATGGCATGTCCTGGGTGTAAAAGGTAAAATCTAAATACTTACGGAGGACAAGAAACTGTTTAAGCATCATTTGTGGTATCTGGGTCACAGGTGTCCTGCAGACACTACTATACTAGAAACTTAAGAAATGTGAAGATGGTATGATACAGAGAGCAATATGTTATAGAATAAGTAATGGTTTGGTATATTTGATATAGTAGTATTGAGCTTCAACTAGAAAATTCTGAGCTGTTTGCCTCCAGAGATATATTGAATCTTATATATATAAAATGAGATATTTTCTGTGTGAATAAATTAAAGCTTTAGAGAAAGCTACTGGTTGGGTACAAGCAGACCGATAATTCTCCTCTAAGGTTGCTATGGAAACTAGCAGTGCTTGCTATAATTGAGAGCATCTTAAAACATCCTGACATTTCCTTTTTTTCTCTCAGCCATTTTACATTATTTTTATGTTGTATAGGTAACATCCATTCAAAAGAAAATAGTTAATGAACATTCCTGTTTGAATATCAATCTACTTTGCTGTTATTTTTTATAGCATAGTGTTTGTATTTTAAACTGCCTGCATGAAAGCAAGCTCCCTGGATTTGTTTGTCTTCCAGTTCTAGTGGCTGTGTATATGGGTTCCATTGCATCTACTGTAGAGACTAAAAACTCATTTTACGGATAAATTTTATAGCAATATGTTTCTGAAAACTAATCTTTCAATATGAATGGTAAGTGAATTCATTTTTGCACTTCGGCTTAGATTATGAATTGAACTGCATTTCTTAGAAAAAAGAAATCTAAAATTATTGTTGTCCTGAGCATTTTTCCTTTCTATCATTTGGATAATAGAGTTGCTGTTTTTAGTCATTTGGTATCAAATTATTTAATACTGTACAAGCTATTGAAAAGAAGCATTTCTTACTATAAGAGCACTACATAGGATGTGAAAGATAATGCAATTAGCTTATTTTTTGTAGGTTGCTTTTAATATACATTATGTAAATAAAGTTCAGTAATTTTAAATTAGAGATAGTCAAATAACCTTCTATTTCAGTTTATTGGCATGTTTAATGTCATATACATTTCTACATAGTATTTACGTAAGTAATTTGTTTCATAATTGGCTAAGGACTTTAGTTTTCTTAGTTGGCAATTGAAACTAATATGTGAAGTAATGGTTAGATGGACTGATTAGCTGTCCAAACTGATTTTTGTGATCATTTCTTACAAGAAAACTTGATTTTGATATCAAGCATGTACTGTAATAGGCTGAAGTAAAGTATTCTTGTCATAAATTTAATGGAATTGGAATATTAAGAATAAAATTATCTGTGATGTAAATAATTTTTTTAAAACCTAGATAGAAATTTATGTTTGTCCTTATTTTAGCAAAGATCTCTGTCTCTCTACTTTCAGAAAAATAACTTCTTCCAAAAGGTTTTATATAAAATTGTAAGTACCTCAGCGGTCTCAAAATACAGCTTGAATAGGAAAGCTATTTATTTTTAGCTACCTTGAAGGGGGGGGGGGCAATATAGAATAGAACTGAAAAATACTTACTTGCAGGGTTGAATTTAAAAATATATTGACTAAATATAGTCTTATGAAGCTCATAGTAGATATGCAAAAGGAGTTCTGACTTGTACAACTATCTAATTTAGTCATGGTAACTGACTAGGCAGTTGCAACACAGATTGCAAAAACGTGGCCCATATGGAGTGTGGGCTTGAAATTCACTTGAATTTTCTCTCCTAAATAGAGATTATACTAAAGGATTGTGATACTTTTTCTATATTCTTCTCCATAGTGGTGTTGTCTTGCATACAGTTTGCCTCAAAATTAGCATAACACTTAGAATTAGGAACCCACATGTTTATTCTTCCTCTGGATCAGTTGCTATGTGTGTAATGGAATGTTATGCTGCATTTAAAATGGTATGCTTTAAGTATTTGAAGGTATCCATAAGAGTTCACATTGGATGCTTGCAGAATTAGCTTTAGGCATAACATCAGCTTAACTATTTGTTGATTGTATGAACATGTGTCCCTATTTTGTTTCCAATCAAAGTACTTATGAATTATATATATATTAATAGAACATACTGTATATAGATAGAATCTAGCGCAGCGATGGCAAACCTTTTTTGGCTCATGTGCCATAAGCAGGGGGAGCGCAGGGGACTCATGCGTGGGCATGCCGCACCCATAATGCAATGTGCGACACACCCAGCGCGCATGCACACATGACAGGCATGACCGCCCCCCATTTTTTGCATGCTTTTTTCGCCCTCCCCAGGCTCCAGAGGCTTTATAGGAGCCTGGGGAAGTCAAAAACAGACTGCCCCCCCCCAAGGCCCTCCAGAGACTTCAGGAGCTTCCCTGTAGCCTCCGGAGTGCAAAAAACGGACCTACAGGCAAACCGGAAGTTCAAGAATGGACTTCCAGTTTTCTCGTAGGGCCGGTTTAAGCCCTTTGGAGCCTTCAGGGGCCTTCCAGAGGCTTCCCTGAAGGCTCTGGAGGACGAAAAATCACCCTACGAGCAAACAGGAAGTCACTGCAGCAACCTTCAGTAGGCTTCCCTAAAGGCTTCGGAGGGCTTAAACCGGCCCTACGAGCAAACTGGAAGTCCATTCCCGAAGTTCTGGTTTGCCTGTAGGGCCAGTTTTTTGCACTCCGGATGGGGGGGGAGGCTGTTTTCGCCCTCCCCAGGCTCCTATAAAGCCTCTGGAGCCTGGGGTGGGCAAAAAATGGCTTTCAAAAAGGCTGAACTCAGCTGGCCAGCACACGCATGCACCCTGGCGAGCTGACAGGGCAACGCCTTGCGTGCCCTGACAAATGGCTCCACATGCCACCTGTGGCACGTGTGCCATAGGTTTGCCATCCCGGATCTAGCGTATGTATGTTTGAACTTATATTTGATATACTAGGCAAAATCTAGGAGTGACCACACAATTTAAAACGATATGTATTTTTATTATTTTGTGGTTATACTTCCCACATGCTGAGATATTGTACCAATTCATGAAGACCAAGAATGTTCTTACTTTTTATTTAAAGAACAAGATCTGATGAAGAACCAATCTCATTTTGAAAAAAGAAAGTCTAAATCTTATATAGTTGTTTTATAGTCATCAGAAGATTATGCTCAAAAGTTCATAAACCAGAGTTCTGATTAAGAATGGTGTTGAGAACAAGATATCGTGTTGACCATTATGTTCCTGTACTATTCTGTCTTTGGGTATCTGGCATTAAAGAAAAATTTTGTCTATTCATCTGAAAAATATTATATATTTATTTTCTTTTGTACTTCCCCACAGATTTCAAGAAAACAGATGGGTAAAAAAGTCAGAATTAAGATCTTAAATTAACTAATGAGATGCATATTTTCCTATAATATTTATTCTCTTTTTTCCACTGTAGTCTGCATTCAGTTGGGGTTTTTTTCAGATCGTCCCTATCCTTGGGAGCCGTGATGGTGAACCTATGGCATGCACGCCACATATGGCATGCAGAGCCATATTTGCCTGCATGGCTGCCCTCAGCTCCGGGGCGCATGAGCACACTGGCCAGCTGATTTTTGGGCTTTCAGAGGGCTGGGGGAGACTGTTTTGCCCTCCCCAGGCTTCAGGAAAGCCTCTGGAGTCTAGAGAGGGCGAAAAACAGGTCCATCGGCCCAAACTTACGGTTGGCCTGTTGGGCCTGTTTTTTTGCCCTACCCAGGCTCCGGAGGCTTTCTTGGAGCCTAGGGAGGGTGAAAATGGCCTTCCTCGGCCCCCCCGGAGGGGTTGCTTGCACATGTGTGGTGGTGGTGCGTCATTCGGGCATGTGCAGGTGGGGGGGCACGTGTGCATACGTGATAGTGCATGTGCACACAATTTTGGCACACCTTTAGAAAAGGGTTAGCCATCACTGCTCTGGAGTATTAGTAATGAAGCAATATGCTTCCAAAGTAAGGAAGCTTACATACCCTGCATACTAATCTTTGGCAGCTTGAAAACTCAGAGTTATGTGCTGCTCCCTGAAATTCTTGGATGCAATCCCCAATGCCCCTCTAAAAATTACCACTGTATTATATGTTTAATATGATAAAGTTAAGTTATTGAATGCTGGAGAATAATCACGCAAATAGATTTTTAAATTTAATATAATTATAGTTACATTTCTCTGTATAATAAATTTAGTTTGCATTTTAATCTTATCTACCAATTTTTTTTGAGTATACGACACACTTTTCCCCCCTAAAAGAGGGTGAAAATTTGGGTGTGTCTTATACACCGAATGTAGTCCCGTCTACCCGCCAGCCCCCACCCTTTTGCCTCTGCCTCTCAGCAATTTGCCACCTTGCAGCAAACATAAAACAGCCTGTTTCAGCTTCAGCACAGCTTGATGAGCACAAGCAGCTGATTGTCAGTAGGATCTGCCTCCCGACCATCAGCTGTTTCAGGCTGCAGTGATTGCCATTGATTGCCTCCACATGCCCCATTTTCTGACCAATCCCCACTGCCTGGTACAGGAGGAAAATGGAGCGCGCAGATGCCGAAAACGGGACGTGCGGAGGCGGCAGTAGGCTATGGCAATCCCTGCAGCCTGAAACAGCTGATGTCGAGAGGCTGATCCAACTGACAATCAATTGTTTATGCTAATCAGGCTGTGCTGAAATTGAAACTGCAAGGAGGCAAATTGCTGGGAGACAAGGCAGATTTTCTTTTCCTTGTGCTAATCAGGCTAAAGTAAAACTGAAACAGGCTGTTTGCTGCAAAGAGGCAAATTGCTGGAAGGCAGAAGCAGAGGCAGATTTTTTTTTTCTTGTGCTGATCAGGCTAAAATAAAACTGAAACAGGCTATTTACTGTTTGTTGCAAAGAGGCAAATTGCTGGAAGGCAGAAGCAGAGGCAGATTTTTTTTTTTTGTGCTGATCAGGCTAAAATAAAACTGAAACAGGCTATTTGCTGTTTGTTGCAAGGAGGCAAATTGCTGGAAGGCAGAGGCAGAGGTAGGTTTTTTTCCTTGTTTTCCTCCCAAAAGCTAGGGGTGTCTTATACTTGGAAAATATGTTATTTCACCTGGCCAAACTTTTTGTATATATTTAGAACACAATCTAAAGGTCCCACAATGAAGTCCATCTTTTAATCTATGGTGTATTTGGAGCAGAGCTGGAGGATGTCCCATTGCTAGATTATGAATCCAAACTGCAGTCAAAAGCATGGCATTTAAAAGTTGAAATACAACAATCCAAAAATTGAAAGTTAATACAACTGATTTGTATAACACAAGTTATTTATTTAATTTTAATATTTATATATCAAAATTAATCTTCTAGGACGTGGAGATATAGTAAATAAAACTAAATAAAAATCACAGTTCAAGAAATAAAACTTTCTAATAACTGAGATTGTGAACTATGATTGCTCTTTTCATATTCATCTAGCCTTATGACAAACCATATCTTCCCAATGTGATTGTTATTTCAAAAGTGACTAGATATACTATAATTTTTATCTTGCTCACTCATTCCTGTTTTGGTGGCTAGGAAGACTAAAGCCATCATCACTGCAGGACTGACTAAGACATCCTAGATTGAATGTTGCTGACACATAGAATTGAAGTAATAGGCTGGAAGTGGAGATGTCTCATAAATTCATGTAGTGTGTACACAGCTACTGATGTTTAATGCAATTACATGGATTATCAGTTTGCAGGTGAGTGCTCTTAAAGATCAAGTGATTGTCCTATGGCGGAGTAGGAATGGCTTTTGTAAGAACAATTAAGTTTAGGTTCTGTGGTCAAGGCAAGTCTTTAGAGCAGTGGTTCTCAACCTGTGAGTCGGGACCCCTTTGGGGGGTTGAACGACCCTTTCACAGGGGTTACCTAAGACCATTGGAAAACACATATTTTCCAAAAAAAGTACAGAAAACATAAAATAATTTTATGGTTGGGGGTCACCACAACATGAGGAACTATATTAAAGGGTCGCGGCATTAGGAAGGTTGAGACCCACTACTTTAGAGAGCCATTTATTGCTCTCAATAAGTGTTCAACAAATGGCTCTCCAATGACCTGTAAAGCCCCACCCCATGCTACCCTGAAGGCAGCCACTCTCAGTCCCCAAATAACAGCTGTTATATTACGTCCACAATGCAAAGTCTAGGCATAAGACAAATGGCATTCCTCAGGGCAAAGACAAGGTGCAAGGCAAAGGCAGTTCTGAAGGTAAAGCAAGACAAAGGGCAAAAGCAGTTTACAAGGCAAAGGCAAGACCAGTGGTAGTCCTCGAAACAAGGCAAAAGGCACGAATCAAAGCTGAGAGAATGTAATCCAAAACAAACAATTGTTCCTGGCAAAGACTAACTCCCCCACAGCTTGTCCTTAAATCAGTCCACTCCAGGTGTTCCTTGTGAGGAGAAATGGGACCACCTTCTCCCAAGTAGATTTCTGGCCCTTCTCTGAGCTTGCCTATGCTCCATTCTCTGTGCCCTTGGATCAAGTGGGAGAGCCATCTGTTTCTCATCAGAGGTGATCTCCCTGTCAGCACCATTACCTGTCAGCAGCTCATCCTCCCCATGTCAGTGAAGGCGCCAGTGAAGCTCTCTGTCAGGTCGACCACTTCCCCCAATGCCTGAGGATCCTGAAGTAGCATCATCCTCAGTCCCTGGACCTCTCCACATATGCCATGGGAGACGTGCCATCTCCGTCGGACAGTCCTGGTTCCAACTCCTCCTCGTCTGATTTCAGGCTCAGAGTGGGGCCAGGACAGGTTTCTGCAGAATACGTAGACAAATCTTCCTACACAAATTTATTTTAATGGCAACTAATTATTATCAAACTCCAAAACTGATAATACCTGTAGCAGTTCATCTTTAAGTGGCTATAATAATCATGTGTTTATGGCATAGCTGTTTTCTTTTATTCTCGTTATAGAAACCTGTTGTGCAGTTATCACTCTCTCTCTGCATGCTGTAATACACGCTGATAATGTAAAGAAACAAAACAAAACTGAGCATTATCTCAGCCATCTCTAAGATGATCTGCAGTTCTGTGTCATTCTTATCATGAAGAATCAAGCAATCTATGAATTAAGTTTGGATATTACAGTATCTCACAGTCAAGTAGTCACCATTCACTTGCTTCCCAATTGGCTTCTGACAAGCAAGAGTTAATGCAGAACATAGAAGTAAAAATTTACTTCTATGTTCTGCCTTAACTAAGATAATGCAGTGGCATTTATTAATGGAGTTGCCAGTCCCAATTTTGGTCACTGGGAGAGAAGTACGCATAACAGGGTGCTTCCCATTGTTTAAAAAAATAGCTTCTTTTTAGACAGAATTGCTGTAAATTTTTGTTCCAAACTTGTTCAATTATGAGTCCTCATATCAGGGGTGTCAAACTTGCGCTGTCATATTGTCTTCACATGATATATTATGACTTTGTTTCCCCTTTGAAAAATGGAATAATTGGTCTCTCACAAAAAACACTGGAGAGTAACGAAGATAAATAATTTTGTAATTTTAACTGGATGAAATAGGAGAAGCTGATAACACTGGTGCTGCTGAAAGTGAGGTTGACAGGACTGGTAGTTCTTAGTGAGGTCATGCTTATTGGGAAGATTAAAACTTGATGGACAGAGCAAAGAGTATTCTTGAACAGGGGTGAGAACAAGTAGTACCTGGCAGGAATGAGACTAGGCAGTAGCCTAAGAGCAGGAATGATCAAACTCCGAAGGAGATACCAGTACCATTTGTAGTGTGTCTAAAAAACCATATAGATACAGCTTTAGCATTACAAAAGTCCGGATTCCAGACTGTGAGATTTTTATGTGGGTAATACTCTTCTCACTATTCTCACAAGTAAACTTCTGAGTAATGATGTAGACAGGCCGAAGTCAAACATTGATGGGATAGAATTGAAAGATGAATTATTGTGTACAAATCATATTCAATCATAACAATGTGAAAAGCATGAACTAAGGAAAAACAGAATTATGAACATGGAAATGAAATAAGCAAATTGAACGTCTGAGAAATTAGTGTAATTGGTGGATTGAAGTGCAATACAGTCAACATATATATGTCCAGGAACAGACAGTGGAGTAATATGAATTATTGGTGTCAAATATAGAATATTGAAAAGAGTTGATGTGCCAATATATTTATTTTTCTCATTTAGAAAAATCTGTAGATTTCATACAATTAGTAAAGATAGTCTTCCACCTATGACCACAATTGAGCCCAAAATTTCTGTTGTTAAGCGAGGTAGTTGTAAGTGAATTTTGCCCCCTTTTACAACCTTTCTTGCCATAGTTGTTAAATGAACCTCGGCAGTTGTTAGCAACACAGTTGTTAAGTGAATCTAGCTTCCCCATTGATTTTGCTTGTCAGAAGGTCACAAAAGATAATCACATGTCACCTGGAGACCACAACCGTCATCCGGGCTTGGGACCGGCAACGGTGGAGTTGTTGTTGTTGTTGTTGTTGTTATTGGAAATCCATTCATACTACCACACCATTTGAATGGTGTTCATCCCAAATTGTATAGTTAAAAGTCTGCAGTCATCCCAGCTCATAGTTGTCCCCAAAATTGAGAATCTCTACATACTTTTAAATGAACTGCTGTAAGTTTAGTATTACCTGTATATGAAAGACCATCTGAGAAGCTAACAGAAAAAAATACTTTAGGGGAAAAAAAGCTGAAAACAATTTATCAAAAACTGAAAGATATCCAAGTAGCTTTAAGAATAATTAGTGAACCCAAGAATTTCTAAGGATGAATTACAGTGAACGTAAAATGAATCAGGTTCAAAATCCTGAGTTTGGAGAAACAGTAATTCAGTCTAGTGAAGATAGTGTAACAGTGTAATTTACACTTGAAGACATTTCTTCACATTTCCATTGTGTTTGGTATAAAATGATTTAGCTGATACTTTCATTGCATCCAATAAAATAAGCCAATAACTTTATTTGCATTGTTCTATTTCTATATATGCATATAGTAAATTGAGTTAAATAAATAAACATTGAAGGAATGAATAGTTTTGAAATCGTCTGCTTACTGTTTCAGCTAGGAGTATTGCATCATTTAATCACATAGAAATAGAAGACTATTTTTAGCAGTTGCCTACTTTGTCTAGTATTGATATATATATATATATATATATATATATATATATAAAGATCACGTTGAACCCCTCTTTTTCACTACTTATTATACATCTTGTGGTGGCATGTAGGGTAATATTTTAAGACAGAATGTATAAGGGGTGTGTGTGGGATGATCATGATTGCATACTATTTGAATGTTGTTTAATTCCACCCACCCACTTGAACTGCTGAAAGGCAGGCTACTTTTTTCATTTCAAAATATGAGTTCCCTGATCAGATATGTGTGTAATTTCTGTGAATTCTGCACAGAATGTGAAGTTCTCTCCCACACCCCCATGTTGCTTGGCAGCTTTGAAATTTCACCCAGCATTTATTCCTATTTATGCAGTGGGCAAAAGGAGAACTAGGTCTATCCAGTCTGCACCAGGATTCTGTGAATGTTATAGCGTTTTCTTCTGAGCTTTTCATACAAATTGATTTTGATATTGGTGTGCTTGAATCTGGTTCTTCGGATTCCTTATAAAGCTATTAGAGGGTAATTTCTGTAGCAGTTTTTAGCGCTTAACATTGTACAATTTCTGCCTGCACTTGATGTAAAATTTTTTTTGTCTTTTTTACAGAAATTCATTTGTTGCCTAGTCCACTTTGACAACATATGGGAGGGCTGGGGTATTTTGGTATCTATTCCTAAGAAAGAAAGGAATGGAGACAAGAACGTGATAAGAATTAATCTAGTTTTTATATATCATATGTGGAAGATGTGTAAATCCTTTTTCTCTTTCTTTCTTCTTTCTTTTCTTCACATCTGTGTGGGTGAATACTTCTGCAAATCCTTGGTGAAAACTTTAGAAATCTTTGGTATGGTCATTTTTCATTAGAACCCAAAGTCATTGACTACATTACAAAATTTATTAAATGGGGAAAATACAGTTATCCTAATTTTTAGAAAAATATTACAAAGCTTATAGTAAATTTTGGGAAAAACATGAAATGTGCACTAGATAGAAAATTCATAGTGGAATTATCTTTACACTTAAGAAGATTTTACATGATACCCCCTTTTTAAATAAGTTGCCAATATCAATTAATAAAATGACTTAACTATCTTCTGATTTTGGTTGAAGCATTTTAATAATTTGATGTTAGTCTAGGTTGTTCCTAAATTTCTAATTTGAAAGAGTTAATATTTACCTTTCCACTCTTTTCAAAAATAGAAATGCAAAATGAAATATAAAAATAATAATGAACAAGTAAAAGAAGGCATAATTTGAAACTTTAAAAGGCATGCCTTGAAAGTCATCTATATTAAAATCATTTGTTCTTACTGGGTTTATTTCTTTGTTGTTGCAAACTTAAAATTAAATACTTGAGAATTATTTGCAGTTTGACTCATGTTATATCTCTTAAAAGACAATTCAGCACAGCACAAACTATCAATTGCTGGTAATATTAAATAATATTCTAAAAGATAGTTCGTTAAACACACACTCTGGGGCCACCATTATATAAACCAGTATCTAGAATCCATATTCAAAATGTTTTTAGTATATTGGCAAGTATCAGCCATTAAAGTCTTTAGATGCCGTATTTGATCTTAAAACGTCAACAATTTAGTCTGTGGGATATTTAACAGCCCTGTACAAAATAACCAAAAAAGGTGATTCCCAGCATGCAGGATCAAGAACAAAGCACGTATTGTTAAGGCAGCTGCAAGGTTTTCAAGATTTGCACAGTTACTTCAGAGGCTGCTTCCCAAATAGAAAATGGAACAAAGTGGCTATCAATGTACATATATGAGACAGTTGGGAACAGTTTAGAAACAACTCTGCAAGCCTGGAAAAAGTGCAGTTTCTTTTAATGATTTAAAAATATGCCCAATGCTTTTTTCAAAGGATTTAACTTGCCGTACTTCAAAATTTCCATCTCAGATAATAGATCTCTTTACTGTAGAAAATTATTTAAGACAGGAATCTAAAAAAATGCACAACTCGCATAGAAAGCAGTGCCTGGAGCAGATTGCTTTTTGCTGCTATTTCTCAAGAAAACATTCAATTTACTATGCAGGTTATGATGTGACCAGAAGTGAGTTTTCACAGCATTGCCACTTTATCTGACCAAGCCTTAAATAAATTTTGTGAACCCTTCCACTCTAAATTGTTTATGGCCTTTATGTATTGCAAAATCTTAAGAACTCCTGCTAAAGGTGTATTTCAGATAATCTGAGTGGCCATTTAGGCTAGCAAGTTTTTAGAAAGCATTGACCACTTCCAAAAAGGCCACACTCACCTAAGGTACCAGAACTTTTAGCAATATTCATTAATTAATTAGTTACTACATGGATTAGCCATTTATACAATATTTGAAGTGGCTTATGGCAGTTAAAATACAAATACAGGAATAAATATAAAGAAAATCATAACCAGTTTATTAAAACCCAAATTAATTCAAGTTAAACGTTTGATGCAAGAGATGATATTATTATATTTTCCTCAATTTCTGGGAGAATTAAAGCCAAATCCATGCCACTGAAGAGCACATTCCATAGTCAGGGAGAAACAGTCTCCCAGATAGCAAATAGGCAATATTCCTTGGAGGGAGGGAGAAGAGATTTTAAAAGGCTTTTCCAACTGATCTAAGTATTCTGGCAATCCATAAATGATTTAGGACTCTAAAGTTCTTACCAACATCTTAAATTATGCTGTCAGTTAATAGGCAATTAACTCAGAACTGCTGAATGTAACCCAGCTGTAACCACTTGTGGTTTATAGATACTTTTTAAGATTGTATGAAAAATGTACTTCAAAAGTCAAGACAGGAGATAACCAAGATATGCATAATGCTTTCTATATCTATAGCCCTTCCTTGAGGGAGATGAGCAGTCTATATCCTCCTTCAGAAAGAATCGCATTAGCCACCGAACTATAGTGGCAGCTGTAGAGAAGATCATATTTTCACCTTCCATTGCTTGTAATTCCAATAACTGAGTTTTAGAAATTATTTTGAAGCAAAAACTTGCTCTTTCTGAAGAATGTAACTCGCTCATGAGAGATTTCACCCCAGTCCTGAATCTAACTTTTTTTTAACCAAGATCTTTTCTGTATTTAATTTTAGTTTGTTCTCCCTTGTGCAGATTAGACAAAGTTCAAGGATATTAATAATTTACATAGAATCAGAAAGTAAATAGCAGTTGAGCCGGATGTCATCAGCATACAGACACAGAATGGCCTAATAGCTTAGATTCATCGGAATGAAACTAGTTTTCTGGATCCACTCAAATAGGAAATTGGTTTTCTTGGTAGATGATGCAGGAAAATAGACAAAGGAAGTGCTCTAGGTGGCTTAGAGGCTCATTGCCAAATAACTATACCTATCAGTTTTATGTAGCTATTGCACGGCATAACAGTTTCTCTAATGATTCAGAAAGCCACCAAGAGCACTCACTTCCAGATAAAGCTCCAGAGTAGAACTTCTTCGCTATTTTTTCTAAGTTACAAGTGAAACAGTTCACACTCAGTAAACATGATTAAATTCTGTTTGATCAATTTGCTCTTTGTCAAGGTTATTTTGCATTGATCCTTCTCCTCACTTTCCTCACCTTTATATCATATATAAAATGTCATTAATTTTCACAAAAAATTGTCCCTTAGTTCTGCTTATTCTTCTCCCCTTATTTGCATAATTTTAGTTTTTTTGGATTTTCATACTGAACACAGATTATTTTGTTATTTAATCAACTATTTAGCAAAGCAATAGCACTTAGATTTATATACCGCTTCACAGTGCTTTACAACCCCTTCTAAGCGGTTTACAGAGTCAGCATATTGCCCCTAACAATCTGGGTCCTCATATTTATATGCTACACAGAGCCTCAAAAGGATATGGATAGCTAAGTAGAAGGTTTTTTTTTTTGCTAACATTTGAAAAGAGCATTATCTTAAGCTACCAACTGGCAAAGCTCAACATGCTACCAAATTTTTGGAAATATTCCACGAGAATAGTACATCAAAAGAACTGTTCCAGAGAGGGATTCTGCCTCTGTGAAGCAGCTACTTAGTCATATACTTTTAAATGGATGCAGACTATGTAAGGCACGGAGATCACACTGAAGAACTAGATATGTAATTGAAAGTCTGGTTTTTCATGATCACCTGTGCATTAATTTTAACCCATGTATCTCTCTTCCATATGCATATTCTGGCGAGTGGTCTGGGTCTAGGATTATGTCTCTTGCAGAAGTAGAGTCTAAGCATTAACAAAGGATTAAATATTAGCAGAGTTTTGATTAGCGCCTTAGCACACACGGCAAATTCCACACAAGTAAATGTAGAGATGAGCACTCTAAGAATCATGAATACATACATACATACATACATACATACATACATACATACATTCATTCATTCATTCATTCATTCATTCATTCATTCATTCATTCATGGGTGTAGGTATTTTCACGGGTGTAGGTATGCTGGTCTTGTTGTATTCGGGTCTTTTCCCCTGTAAGATTGAGATTGTCTTGGCCAACACAAGTCAATGTTACACAGGAAAAGACCCGAATACAACAAGATCAGTGTATGTATTTAAAAGACAAATCATATTGAATTACGTATTATCTGTGCACATTTTATACAGCCATGATCTTTCTTGACATGCAAAATTGGTAATTCAAGGTAGTCTCTGACTGTGGGGATTTCTAATGTGCAATTTTGTAATCTAGTTTGCCTTTGCTTGCAATACTGCAATGCTATTATGCACTTGATTCCTTAGCTTGCAAACAGCCATTAAGTGTCAGTAATGCACTGTAGCAAGAATTGCCTACTTTTAAAGTATCAACTGATTAAAAAAATTGCCTCCTCTAAGAGGGTTCTGAATCACATTCAGTTCCGCTTGTATGTTACAGTGGTGTGGCCTGTTAGATTTAAATTAGTTTAAGCAAACTGTGCTAAAATTTGTATTGTAATTCATAAGTTTTAGAAAGCTTTTAGAACTCCTATAGAAATTTTGCTTTTTATTTGTGGATTTTTTTCAGCATTTCTTGAAACAGCTTTAAATAATTTGGACGTAGTAGATAATTCTACTATGTGGTGAATTGAACCCAACAGTTTTGTTCTTTGTTTTCTGATTTCAGTGAAAGAATTTCTAGCCAAAGCCAAAGAAGATTTTTTAAGAAAATGGGAAAGTCCTGCTCAGGTAAAGAAATCATTTAAATGTCACTCATTTATTCTAATTTATGGTATTCTGGAATAGATAAAATCTTTTTTGTATGAATAATCTACTGCATTATACTAATGAACTCCAAGAAGAACCAATTATAACAGCTGTTGCCATCTCTTGCACCTAGTGTTTGCTCAAATTTAAACCCCTTTATTTTAGTGCTTTGTTGAGGCAAGTCGATATATTTCAACTCTTTTGGTAAAATACCATCCACTAGAGAAGCAGCTAAGCATATGGGTAAATATTTGTATCTTTAAACTGTTCATTGCCGTCCTACTGAAGTTTTCAGTTTGATGATGGCATAGCAGTGGAAGCAACATCTGCCTCTGAAATGATGATCATTAATGTTTGCAACAAAAGCAAAACTTTGCCACATTGCAATTGAAGCAGATATCTATATTCCCACCAGGATTAAGGGACACAAATGAGGATAAAAATACATCTTATTATTACAACAAGAGACAGTCCACCATTCCCACCACCCCCGCAGAAGCCGGTAATTAAAGCCAGATGGCCACATTTCTAAGAGAGGAACCCCTTTTCCACTGAGACCAACCAGGTCTTTGTAAGATATATAAAGTTGGCAGTCTCCTCCAAGATAATGTCTTGTGTAAGAGCAACTTCATTATATATCAGTCTGTCATTCAAAAGCAACAACTAAAATCCAGTGTCACTAAGAATCTACTAGCGATGCATTGAGTATAGAAACTGAGGACTGGACAGAGGAACCATTTTCAAACAGCAGATTCAATATCCTCAACTGTAGCTCACCCTCCTTTCCCATCATATATCCTTCTACCCATCACTGTTGAGGTTGTCCTGCCTACCTCTTCAACTCTCATCCTTCGTGTCCCCTCACAGACCAAGGACACATAAAAACACAGAAAGAAAATTAAACTCGGCAGCCCATCCTGGCCCAAAGGGAACTGAGTCAGACCTGCTAAAACACTCTGCAGCCTCAGGAAAGACAAGCTTCTTCAGGCAAGAAAAGAGTAGCCAGGACCCTTTCCATCCAAGTCTTGTTGTATTGCCTCATCATGGTGGGGGATGTTCCTGGGAAGAATGTGTGAGGAATGAGCATATATTCCCAGTAGGGTTACCCAAGATGTGACGGTCACCCCAGCTGCCATCTAAAGTAAGCAAGTGCCTATATTGGGCAGTAGCGCTATGCAGTTGCTAAGAGCAATAACTACTTGATGTCACGTAATCAGGTCCTGTCACCTTTTCCACCCCTGGTAAATGGTAAATGGAGCAAGTCCGCAAGCTAGCAAATCCATAAACCACCACACCAACTAACAATCCAGGAGGTCTTGGCCAGCAATGTTTCCATAGGACAAATATCCAAGGGTGGGGGTGCTTCACAGCCTCAGTGCTCATAACCACAGCAAGTGTTTCCATCTTCCTTTTCACACTAAGATCTATATTACTTAAACAGAGATAGATAGGAACTGAGCTGTGTCCATGTGTTCAGTACATATAAATATATTATTCCATGCAACTTGTCCCTGACACTTTCTCAGTGAATAGTAAACTTAACAGAGCTCCAGCACTTTGTAAAACATATCATTTAATCAATATATTTTGGATACATGAGATAGAAATATTTGCTGTTTCTGATTATTGTTCCCATAATGTTTCCCATGGAAACATAAGAGCTGCTTTATAGTTCATTCATCTATTCATTCACCTCTTGTACTTGGGATATTTTATCTGTTTCTGAGTAATATTGGCACTGAGAATCAAGTCATTTACAATTTCACATGCAAGGCTTTAGAGCTTGATCTAGGATTTTCTATAAGCATAACAGGTGTTCTGTTTCCCAAGTTCCCTTTTCTCTCCAGTAGACACAGGTGCTACCCTGCTTAATAAATCATATGTATATTTAATTGAATTAATTACTGTTATAATAACCTGTTACACTTGGGATATTTTATCTGTTCTTACTAATGTAGAATACTGCTGGGTTAGATGACTTCGAGAGGCTTAAAACACTTGGAACTGGATCATTTGGCAGAGTCATGTTGGTGAAACACAAATCTACAGAACAGTATTATGCCATGAAGATACTGGATAAACAAAAAGTAGGTATTTTTATTACAGTTTACTTAATTCTGTATTCACCGATATATATGTATATTTCCCTGCCAGGCTGTGGTTCAGATGGGGTACAAGCTTCATTGTTTCTGGGTAGGTCACATGCATCTTGAATGCTATTTTCTGCACTAGTTCAGCTCAGTGCAAATCCTGCTAGTTTGCTTTGTGTTGGAAGAATGGCATACCGACTGCTCTAAAGATATATAAAGCACATGCTGAGTGTTCTCCATTGATTGTGTTTTACAGAGAGCATTGGTCAAGTGCCTTGTTGTGCTTCAGATTACTGTTTGAAAAATGACTTACGAGATAAATCTGAACAAGCAATAAGTACACAGTGTGAATGGAAAAAATATGGAATCTTTTAAAATGAATTTTGAGGTTGTTTATTATTATTACAGCACATACCTTACAGTTATGAATATGCAGTGAGCAGGCTGTACAGTTATGAGTATGAGTAGTACTAATTTATTATTTAATGGAAGAAATATTATTCTGCAACATTTTCATCTCTAAAATAGTAACAGAGACATGTAATAGTTAACATCCTTTTTTCATTTTGTAATATTTAAGGTTGGAATTTTCTTTGTTGGTAAAAGGAATATAAAAGAGGATGTTGATATTTAGGTTCAATAAGAACCATGGCGCAAATATTAATAGTGTGATACGGATCCCGGAAAGAAATCTAGGGAACTCTAAACTTAGCTACTATGGAAACTCACTTTTACCCCAGTGTCGAAGTAGATATCCTAGGTAGAGGTGCCAGAATAGGGCATTGATCTGGACAATACAATTCCTAAACAATGCTCAAGCTAGCATGTTGGTTGCAATAGAATTTATACTTTGGACAGAAAGAGTAGAATCATTTTTAAAAAAGAAAAGAATTTTTAAAAGAAAAGAAGATGCTCCTCCTTTTCTGGCACCCACCCAGCACAGTTTGATTAAGGTATTTGATTTGTCTTAACACCCTAGCAGGAGGAATCATTTTTACATAGCATATCAGAAATAATGAATATTCAGAAAAAAAATGTAACATTTAACAGTAAACTTTTGTGATGGCTAACCTTTTTGTTGTTGGGTAGGTGCCAAAAATGCGAGGGTGCTCACAGCACCCGCGTGTGCCGGGACCCATAATGTAACCCCCCCATATGTGCATGCCCTCCACCATGTGCACCACACTACTTGCCTCCAAGCTGAGCTTGGTATTTCCTCAGGGGGGGTAGGGGAGGCCATTTTTGCACTCCCCAGGCGTTAGGAAAGCCTTTGGAGAATGGGGAGGGCAAAAAATGGGCCCAATGGGCCAACCAGAATTTCCGTTAGCCTGTTGGGCCCATTTTTTTGTGCTCCCCAGGCTCTTCCTGAAGCCTGGGGAGTGCAAAAACTGCCTCCCCCAACTCTCCGGAAGGCTGAAAATCAGTTGGCCGGCGTGTGCATGCGCACTGGAGCTGACGGCTCGTGTGCCAGCAGATATGGCTCCACATGGCACCCGTGCCATAGGTTCGCCATCACGATCATATCACTTTAAAGCATCTGTGCTTAAACGGAATAATATTTGTGTAAGTCTTGGTGTGTATCTGTTTTTTAACAAATAAATGCTCCTTGGTGTAAACATCTGAAAAGAAATGAGCTAGTTGTTGATTAACTATTGTCAGATTGTATAGCCAACCGATGCTAACATATATCTATATTCACAACATCCTTTTTCTTTTATGAATATTCTGAAGTTTTTCTATTCACTTAAATCTGAGCTCTCTCTTAAGAAAATTGTATTTTTAGATTGGACTTTAATAGAGTTTAATGTAGTTGGCAGTTACAAGTTAGAAGAGCTGGCATACAGCAGCAACACTTTTACAAACCACTTTCATTGAAACAATGTAACTAAATGTTTCAAAATGTGTAATGTTTATGTCTTCAATTCCAACATTTATTTTTGTTTTGTTATCGAATTACAAAAGCAGCTGCATTTTTAAACTTAATTTTTCATTAGTACTTCTTGAAAATCAATTTTTTCAGCCCGCTGTAATCAGCCATTTGATAACAGAATGGCACAGACAAATGGTGTGGTTATGTCATGACATTGGATGCAAGTGTATGTCGTATCATTTCCACCCTAACATAAATGACAGTTGTTTAACTGACTTTCACATTTCATTTGCCACATAATAATTTTATTTCAGAAAAATATCCCTTTGTGATAAGTGCCAGTTTGGGATAGTTGTTAGTTAAGGCACCAGGGTAGAAACTGGAATACCATGAGCTCTAGTCCTGGCTTAAGAGACAAATCCAGTTGGGTGATCTTGGGCCAGGCACTCTCTCTGAGCCCTAGGAAGGAGGCAGTGGCAAACCACTTCTAAAATCTACCAAGAAAACTGCAGGGATTTGTCCAGGTAGTCTCCAGAAGTCAACACTGACTTGATGACACAAAATAAACACCTCTTTATAATCCATGTTATAAAAACATGGAAGAAAATGAATGTGACAGCTGTTAAATTAAATGTAAATTTCAGCAAAGAAATAATTGTAAAACTGTAACAAAATCAAGATGTCATTCAGCATTCATGGGATGTAAGCTTCCAGACACTGCTTTATCTTGTCTAGCCTGAATCAGGCCTTCCTACGTCAGATGCTGTTTGTTCATGTAATTAGCATTGGAGTTGAAATTGTTCTTTATGTGGGTATTTTCCAGTGATTCAGATTCTAACCAAGATTCCAAAAAATATTATTATCATCATCATCATCATCACCATACTTTCTCCTTGAAGACACTCATATAATCAAATGTTACAGTTTAACTAAGAGAGTAACATCATTTTTTGTAAGTTTTTTGTGGGTGTGAGTTTTTTTTTTACTTTAGATGATATGCATGAAATGAATTTTCTAAACTCTCACTGTAACTTGTTGCAAGTATTCCACAAACTATTTGTTATATGGTTTATATACAGTATAATCTGAACCCAAAGATGAAATAGGGTTACACAATTCTTTTATTCATTGAGCCAGAGGTCCCCAACCTTTTTGGCACCGGTTTCACAGAAGACAATTTTTCCAAAGGGGGGTGGGGTTGCAGCTCAGTTCCTAACAGGCCATGGAATGGTGCCATTCAATGGCTTGGCAGTTGGGGATGGCTGCTTTAAGCCACTTATAAAATGCAAACTGATTTTAGAACTGATCTTTTTCCAATTTTTAACTATATGTTTTGTTTTGAATTCTTTCTAAAACTGACTTTGTTCTTAGGTGGTTAAACTGAAGCAAATAGAACACACGTTGAATGAAAAAAGAATATTACAAGCAGTGAACTTTCCTTTTCTTGTAAGACTGGAGTATTCTTTTAAGGTAATAATTGGATTAGAAAGTAACACTAGTTACTTTTTTCTAGCATAATTTGTCTTGTAGTGCCCGATGGGTGCCGCCTTTTTTATAGAAGTTTATTTCCCAAATAAGACTAGTCCAAAGATGATTGAAGATCCTCACTTCTTACAATTACATGTTAGATGCTTCATTAATTTAATATGATTGCAAGTTTTACGGATTGAACAAGTCAGTTTAATAAAATAAAGAAACTCCTTCTTTGGTCATATTCATACATCATTATTTAAATAAAAACTATGGGCTTTGTAAACCAGAATGTGGAAAAGTAATGTGCTGTTACATCTAGCTAGCTAGCTAGCTGACCCAATCTGATATTATCAGTTAAGTGCTCCTGACAAACTAGTTGCTATAAATTAATGTCATTCATTAATTTAATATTTGTTTAAAATCAATTTTTCTTTAGATATTTTTAAATTGGGTTAAAGATTAAATACAGTTTGAAATTGTCTTGTTTCAAGTAGTAAGATGACAACAGGTGTTAATAGAGCTAGTTATTAGAGCTAGTTTGGTGAAGTGGTTAAGGCACCAGGCTAGAAACCAGGAGATGTGAATTCTACTTCTGCTTAGCCACGAAAGCCAACTGCATGACCTTGAGCCAGCCACACACCCAGCCCAATTCACCTCAAAGGGTCATTTGGGTGAAATAAGAAGAAGAGGCTGTTTTGGATATGTTCACTGCCTTGTGATATTGGTAAAAATAATGAAGGCAAGATAGAAATAAATAGAAATAGAAAATATAAGTGGCCCTGACAGTGGTATAAAAAGCAAGGAGAATATAACTCCATGGCTTATTTAAAAGAAATCTGTTAATCCACCATGGATTTTGCTGTGGCATAGGCGATAACGTTGAATGAAATCTATTAGCAATTGACTTAGTTTTTTTTTTAAAAATGGAACATTTTTCATTGCATACAGTTATATAGCAAATAATGGCATCAGAAAAAAAAAAGAATTCTCCAGCCATATGATTAAATGTAACTGTATATACTGGTAAATTAAAATTACATACAGGTAATCCTCACTTAACAACAGTAGTTGGAACAAGAATTTCCATCGCTAAGCACTGTGGTCATAAAGCACAGCATCACATGATCACGATGCCAGCACTTCCAGCTGTCATCATTAAGTGAACCCTGTACTATTGTTAACCAGATGCCATGAGTTGCCATTTTTGAACACCTGCCAGCTTCTGCATTGAGTTTGTTTTTGGAAGCCAGCAGGGAACTTCCCAAATGGCAATCACACAACCAGAGGATGCTACGACATCGTAATTACAAGTCAGTTGCCAACAATCATAATCATGTGATCACAAGGGCATGTGACAGCCACAGTTATGAGGACCAGTTGCAAATAACACTCATTCAACACCATTCATACAGTTACTGAATGAGTTGTTGCAAGCGAGGACTTTCTGTCTTATCAGTAGTTGTGTACAAAACACCATATGATAATATAAAAAAGTCAATTAAGTTTTTATATGTATAATATTTTTCCCCAAAAGCTAAAATATTTCTCATGCACACATACTACTGACATTATTGTTTCTGGTGTTCTTCTATTGAGAATAATGGCTGGTCAATTTTAATTCAGCCAGGTATTCTGTTTCATCCTGCTGTTTTGTCACCCTTAAATAAATAAACTTTTTGTTTGTTTGCCAGAAATATATTTGGATCTTTGAAAGTGTACCCTACAATTTCAATTAATGATGCTTCTCTATATTTTAGGACAATTCCAATTTATATATGGTTATGGAATATGTTCCTGGAGGGGAAATGTTCTCACATTTAAGAAGAATTGGAAGGTTCAGGTAAGAATAAACAAGTTATTTGGGAAAATATATGCTGTCATTCCTAAGTGATTACTATGTAGGAAAAGATGTACTTCACTTAGCATAAACTTGAAAACTTTCTGAAATAGCTTTGAAAAACAAGTTTTGATTTAGCATGTATACAATAGTTTTATATATTGAAATACATAGGATCTGATCCAGATAGTCTTCCCTTTACTGACCACTCATTCCACAACTGGTTGAAGTTATGATGTACTGAAAAAATAACTTTATGTCCAATTGACAACCGTTTATTAAATTGGCAGCTTCCCTCAGTTCTGTGATCAATACAATGGGTCTGGTCTGTTTTTATTACCTCTCCCGTCTTGCACAGTGGAGAGATTAGAGAAGAGATTAGAAGAAAGTAAGATGGCACACAATTAAGAGCACACAGAGAAAACAAAAGCAATGTGTTAGTCCTGGCAGCTGTGGTTCCACCACAAAAGCACGTAGGACAAAATCGCGCTCGACAAAAGCGCGCTGTGACATCATCACAGCGCGACAAAAAAGATCGAAAAAATGTAAAAATAAAGCTAAAACCTTCCCCTAACCCCCCCAAACCTAACCCTAAACCTAACCCTAAACCTAACTCTTAACCTAACCCTAAACCT